GAGGGAGATGGTACAGCTTGTTGTTGGGACAGAAACTGGGCATACTCCTCTCGACCCAATGTAATAGTAACTGACCTAGTGTCTGGTAGAGCTGACCGAGGTATGGGAGCAACAACAAAGGTATCATCCTGATAAGAAGCCTGATTCGTAGCACTAGAAGGTTTTTTATTTAAATCCCAACAGAAATCAACAGTGTGCCCTCCACGACCACAGTGAGTACAGGAACGGGATCCACTACAGCCCCCACGACCACCCGTACAACCTTTTGTACGACCTCCTCGACCACCACGTCCACCTCGATGACAATCACTATGGCTACTAGGAACCACAAGAGCTGAACGATCAGTGGAGACACCATGATCAATGCCTGAAGGAGTAGACAGTGTAGCACGCTGTAAATGAGAGAAAACCTCAAGCAGTGATGGAAGACTAGAACCACCCAAAATCTGAGAACGAATAGCCTCATATTCAGGTTTCAATCCTACCAAAAACTTAACAACATTCAAGTCCTCATGTTGTTTCTACCAAACTGCTACATCAATAGTAAAAAGATGGTAGGTCTTCATCTCCTCACAGACTCCCCGAATATGAGAGTAATAATCCGCAAGGCTTAGAGTACCCTGCTCTAACCGGAAGTACTTCTTACACACCTCATACACACGGATAAAATTACCTGTTCCAGAATACATAGTAGTGGCCAAGTGATCCCATATCTTCTTGGCAGTGTCAACGTAGAGTAGAGTGGAACTAATACTAGGCTCAATGCTATTCAGTAGTAAAGACATAATTTGAGCATCCTCTTGTTCTCACTGATCATACCCAGGAGTGTCTTCCTTGGGTTTAGGATCCACCAAATATTTCTTAAATCCTTTGCCTCGAAGAAATACTTGAACGGATCGGGACCATTAAGTATAATTGGTCCTATTGAGTTTAACAGAGGTAATGGGACCATTGATAAGAACGTGGGGTGGCAAAGACGGAGTAAGAGACCTAGTATCTTGCTTGGGTTCCATTACAGTGCAGCAAATATGGAACAAGAAGTGTTGCAATGTAGAACCAGAGAAAAGAAGGCTACTAGAAAGACTGAACCGGACTGGCTAGGCTTGCTGGACCACTGAACCGGGAAGAATAGGCTGATTGGACTGCTGAACCGGACAAGAGAAGCCCACTTGAGGGCTGAACTGGACCAGAAATACCCACTGGACCACTGAACCGAGAAGAATAGCCTCATTTGATTGCTGAATTGGACTAGAGAAGCTCACTTGAGAGCTGAACCGGACCAGAGATACCTACTGAAGCACTGAACTGGACTGAAACAGATTGAACCAGACTGGACCGGTCTGGTTTGGATCTTGGATCAGGATCTGGTTCTGGGTCTGGATCTGGATCTGGATCCTTTACCCTAACCTACAAACTAACCCACTTGAACAGGGTCTTCTCCTTTGCTGGTTAGGGTTTCTATCAAACCCTATACCTTCACTGTTGAACACCACCACAACACCGAACGCCACCACACCACAACACCGAACACCACCACAAACCACCACGAAGACAGTCGACTACACCACCATGAAGACAGTCACCACCAACGACTGTACCAGTCGACTACACGACGAAGACAGTCGCCACCAACGACTGTACCATTTGACTGCACTACCACGAATCAAAAAAAAAAGAGGAAACCAGATTGAGTTGACACCACAACGTCAACTATACCAATGACAGCAACACCACACGAATAGTAACAACACCAGGATTAATGCTCTGATAGCATGTTAAGTTGAGAGAATTAACATAACACAATATTAGAGACAATATTAGAGAGAAAGAGAGAGGTTAAAAACTTAACCTAACTCTCATACATTACTCATATTTATAGTTAACCTACAATAACAATAATTACACATACACCCTCTTACTATTAACAAATTACACATACTACCCTACTATTCTTAACAATAATAACAAATGTTGATAAGAACTTCAGCTCTTGTTTATCTTCCCTCTTTTGAACTTAACACTTTGAAAACTCTGAATTAAGGAAAACAATGTCCTTCAATTGCATAGTGGAAGTTGTTTTTGGCCAACAAACAAACTTTATCTGCACGTTGCATTCTCTTGGAGCTTACTTAAATTTTAGATTTCTTCTATCATGGTTCTGTAGGTTTGTCAAACTAGATGTGTGCTTATTTTTGCTTTGCAGAAATGATGGGCGCTTTTGTTGGTTGAATTAGTTTTTATGCTGTTAAAATGTCAAGAGTTGACAGTTTTTCTGACTGTTGAATTTGTTGAGTAATTTTATCTCTGCTGTGAATTTATTGTGCTGCACTCCAGCCTCTTCCAGAAACTGTGGCACTTGTGGAGGACATTGTTGTGGAGTATGTTACAGATATGGTAAGCTAGGATTACTTTTCTCAGATCTGCTTTTGAACTACCAATAATTCACTGCAAAAAACATCCATGACTATTGCAGTAGCTTTGTCGGATCAAATGAACTTATAGGTCCTTTTGATTGTATCCATTGCAGAGCTTGCATGTAATGTTATCTTCTTTTTTCTTTTTTACCTCATTTGGAGTTAGATGGAATGCAAACAATTTCTATGATCATCCACAGGTGCATAAGGCACAAGATATTGCATCGAAAAGGGGAAAGCTCTTAACTGAGGATTTTCTGTTCTTAATTCGGAAGGTACATTTTCCTGCGGAAATTCATCTATAAATGGAGGTTCCATTTGGATTTAATATGTTGAAATTTATTTGTGGTGAGCTCTTTCCGTTGACGGTCTTTTGTGCTTGTGACTGAAATTTTTTACTTCTCTGAGAGAGCTTATATTTCTGACACTAAATATCTTTCATGGATGGCTTCGGTGTGAAGGTAAAGCAGATTGGGAAGTGGTTTTCCCATGTAAACAGCAGCATCATGTTTGCATCTTCTTGAAATCTGGTTTCCTTGAAGATGAGTAGCATTTTGAATTGCTGTGGGTTCATTGTCTCGCAGAATATGGATACTAATAGTTATAAATTGCTTTGTGAATTAATTCTTGGAGAATTTTTTGCATGTTATGTTAGTTGCAACAAACTAGAGGGGTGCAATTGTTAATTAGTAATGCAGTGGCTTCCTTATTTGTTATTTATGTACTAGTGTAATTATTTATCCTTTGGAAGCATTTTGTGTGAAATGAGCCAGTTATGCTTCTTGGTCACTCAGAGAGAGAATACACTGGCATATTTAAGTTTTCAGTGGATGGTTGATCTGAGAACATCTTCATACTCCTTGTACATGATTTTCTATTGCTTGATATCGAACAAATTGAAGTTGGAAGACAAATTGGTGTCCACTATCTGAAGAAATTGGCTACAATTACAAGAAATACACATGGGTCCCGATTGATTGTAAAACTACTTTATCTCACTGGAGTTTATAGTTTGAAGATGTTTTGTTCATCTTTGAAGCTTTTAGAAAGATTTGACAACTTCATTATGTTAATTTCTGCAACTTGCAATTGTTGATGCAGAGAATTATATGCTAACACTATATCAACTATGATCCTTGCAGGACTTACCAAAACTTAACCGCTGTACAGAATTGCTGTCTATGAATGAGGAGCTGAAACAAGCCAGGAAGGCTTTTGAGGTAGATGAAGAGAAGCTAGCAACAATCGAGTGACGGGAGAGAACACACACTATTCACTTGTTATTTTTACTCTTATATAAATCTAAGCCCAAGTATTTGTTCTGTAAATAGTATTTTCGCAAACTAATCCAATTAAGAGGGTGATACCCCCAACACACATGCTAGTGCACACAGATTTTGCAATAAAAAACATCATTGCAGGTGTTTGCCGAGGAATTAGCGATGATGTGAGCTTTTCAACAACTTTAACGAAAAGCTATTTCCTCGGTGACTTTTGCCATCAAGCATCTCAAGAGTGAGTTCTGATACCCAGGGACTGATACATCTTTCATCGAGCAAAGCAATAAGCTGCCTTTATTTTCTTCCTTCATAGATCATCCACTATGTATTGTTTACATACCCACTTATATATTATGTGCTCTACTTGAATTGGTCATATTTGAATTCAGAGCAAATAGGTGATATATTAACGAAGAACATGGAAGAAGAAATGTATTGGAGGAAATTTCAGTACTATGACAACAGTTCTGTAATGCTTCATAGAGCAATCTGGATGTTGCTTAATTAATTAACCATCTTGTGATTTTTGCTATGCAAGGTGAAGTGGTATTGTTAAATTCCCAGCCCTACTTATTGAGTAGAAATGACACTAACTACGTTGAGTAAAAAATTAGGGTGTATGGGGTGACTATTCCCACCCGGAAAAGTTCTTTGCCACCCCCACTATACTTTATAATCCAAAGTTATTAAGTTTATTCCAATCTATACCCCATTAGTTATTAAGTTTACCCAATTAATAGTAAATATCTTATTATCATCTTTCATACATATTCATAATAGATGAAAGAAATGCTATTTAAATTTAATTTATTAATCTAATAATATGACTTTATTAGAACCATTAGACAACAATAAGTACTAATGTTTGATGAATTTTATGGTCAATCTAAAAGTTATAATAAATTAGATTAATAAATTAAATTTCAATAACATTGTTCAATAGATTATTTATACCGCACATCAAATTATATGATTTCACACGCTAAGAGCTCGACTTTTCCTTGGAAAAAGTTAGATCGAAGCTCTGCCTGTCGGGGGTGAACAACTCTTCATTTTGCCGCAGGTATAATTGTTGTGTGTAACCAATGCATTGGCGGTGGGCAATGCGCTCTTTAAAACTGAGTTCGAGTATGCCGCTTCCAACTTATCAAATCTATTTTTGATCTTATAACTTCTTTTTTTGCGTGTTCAAAGTGTAAAGGAGAAAAAGAAATATAAGTAGCCTAAACATTCTATAAAGTCCTCTATCATGTTACAACGGGAGCACCTTGGAACATGAAAAAAATTGTTAAAAAGAGTCTATACACTATCCAAGAACTGCCTTGATCTTTGTCTTCTGTTCCTCTGTTAGTGAGGAAGGAAAAAGAACTTCAAATGTGACAAATAGATCACCCTTCTTGTTGCTAAAATGTAGCGGCATCCCTTCACCTTTGAACTTCCTCACTTCCTTGGGCTTTGTAATTCCCTGAATAATGGAAAAAGGGTTACTTTTACCCTTCATAGTATTGTTGCTCTTTTTTATTTTTATTTTATTATTTTCACTCACTTTCTTTATACCCATTATTCTCCACATTTTTGATAAAACAAATATACAGGCTCACCTTTGAACCAATGTTCACTTGATGATCATCAAGGTGTTTAATGGTCTTCTCAAAGCCAACAAGAGCTTGCACCTGAAAGACGAGCAGATTTTGGTAAATCAACTCATAAGAGAACCTACTTTTTTGTTTTTGAGTCTTATGACAAAGAGAAAGTAGAAGCGAAAATATCGATGCATAGCATTAAATCAAGGTAATTCAAAACCAACACAAAAAAAAAACACAAAATCAATTTTTTATATCTGATTTTATAATTTTTTTTTAAAGTGAGTTATTCCAGCAATCTTTGTCACACTCTTAATACCAGTGAAGGACCCCCTCCGCCTCTTTCTCCTTTTTCTTAATCCTCTCAGGCTAAACATTGTAAACCTAGAGGCTGCGTAACAATTCCCAAAGTATACAGTTAGAGTTGCCAGCCGCACAACCCCCCTGCCCCGGGCTTAAAGTTTATAAGTATATTGTTCTTAGTATCCCCTAAAAATGCCTAGATTATAGGAAAAAATGAACTGAATTAGAGTCAAGTTCATCACACGTTAAACCAACTACTTTTAGCTGTCTGGACTTTGATTTTCTTAGCCAACTAAGGGTCAAAGACTCCAAATAGGTTTCTGGCCCACGCACTTGCAGCAGCGATATTGTACAATCAAAGTACGGGCCTGAGAGCTGATGTGTTCCATCAGTACTTTGAAACTATGTAACAAGGAAAAGCATAGCTTTCCAGCATGACAATCTCTCTCAGTGCTCATAAACAAAACCATTGAACCTCATATATTGAACACAGTGAAGCTGCTAAGGCGTTTATCACACTGAATTCATAGAGAAAAAGGTATACTATAACCATGTTGATCTTGCTATCATGAAAACTATCTCTATGCAAAATGGACGCATCAACACTAATTAATGTGCCCGAAAATAGATGACCGTAACAATTACCAGAGTTATAGTAACAGTTGTGTGCAGGTCATTGCCTTCCCTTCTGAAGTGATCATGGGGTGCAGTGTGAATACGAAACTGCCCAAATTTGAAAGTTACGTCAGCACAGAATTTGAATTGGAGTATGCATATCATGAAGCCAAGAGAATTTGAATTGGAGTATGTATATCATGAAGCCAAAAGAATTTGAATTGGAGTATGTATACTATGAAGCCAAGGATAAAGATCTAACCCTAAGATCTCCTGCTTCACCATCTATTATGGGCTCACCATCTTCATAGAAGACCACCTCCTNCTCACCTTTGAACCAATGTTCACTTGATGATCATCAAGGTGTTTAATGGTCTTCTCAAAGCCAACAAGAGCTTGCACCTGAAAGACGAGCAGATTTTGGTAAATCAACTCATAAGAGAACCTACTTTTTTGTTTTTGAGTCTTATGACAAAGAGAAAGTAGAAGCGAAAATATCGATGCATAGCATTAAATCAAGGTAATTCAAAACCAACACAAAAAAAAAACACAAAATCAATTTTTTATATCTGATTTTATAATTTTTTTTTAAAGTGAGTTATTCCAGCAATCTTTGTCACACTCTTAATACCAGTGAAGGACCCCCTCCGCCTCTTTCTCCTTTTTCTTAATCCTCTCAGGCTAAACATTGTAAACCTAGAGGCTGCGTAACAATTCCCAAAGTATACAGTTAGAGTTGCCAGCCGCACAACCCCCCTGCCCCGGGCTTAAAGTTTATAAGTATATTGTTCTTAGTATCCCCTAAAAATGCCTAGATTATAGGAAAAAATGAACTGAATTAGAGTCAAGTTCATCACACGTTAAACCAACTACTTTTAGCTGTCTGGACTTTGATTTTCTTAGCCAACTAAGGGTCAAAGACTCCAAATAGGTTTCTGGCCCACGCACTTGCAGCAGCGATATTGTACAATCAAAGTACGGGCCTGAGAGCTGATGTGTTCCATCAGTACTTTGAAACTATGTAACAAGGAAAAGCATAGCTTTCCAGCATGACAATCTCTCTCAGTGCTCATAAACAAAACCATTGAACCTCATATATTGAACACAGTGAAGCTGCTAAGGCGTTTATCACACTGAATTCATAGAGAAAAAGGTATACTATAACCATGTTGATCTTGCTATCATGAAAACTATCTCTATGCAAAATGGACGCATCAACACTAATTAATGTGCCCGAAAATAGATGACCGTAACAATTACCAGAGTTATAGTAACAGTTGTGTGCAGGTCATTGCCTTCCCTTCTGAAGTGATCATGGGGTGCAGTGTGAATACGAAACTGCCCAAATTTGAAAGTTACGTCAGCACAGAATTTGAATTGGAGTATGCATATCATGAAGCCAAGAGAATTTGAATTGGAGTATGTATATCATGAAGCCAAAAGAATTTGAATTGGAGTATGTATACTATGAAGCCAAGGATAAAGATCTAACCCTAAGATCTCCTGCTTCACCATCTATTATGGGCTCACCATCTTCATAGAAGACCACCTCCTGTAAAAAGAGCGGTTAAGTGTTACAATCAAAGCCCAAAGATTCAAAAAAAAAAAAAGAAAAAGAAAAAGAAAATAAAGGAAAAGATTCCACCTGTTGCTTTCAAGCTTAGCATGAGATCATACAAAGCAAGCCATATATTAAGAAACCACCTATGATGTAAAAACATCTATTTGACAGTTCTATTTGAATATTCGGCTCAACTATATCAAAGATTATTACTTTTCTATTTCTGGATAAGTATTGTCATGCATCATTCTGAACTCAGGAAATGTCATTCCTTCAGGTACTATAGGCAAACAAGTACCAATCCTAGGCAACAAGTCAGCATATTCATCAACATAGTTAAGGGATTCCTTATGTCTAACCTCCTCCTCATCATTATTCATCATATTTATCAAGTTAAAGGTTGAGAAATGTGCTAAGCAAAACGTGCGAACAGAATATGCTTTCTCCTCTGATTCCATTTAGATCACTAAGAAAAATATACATGACATGGTGCACAGCCTGTCAATAGCCTTGGCAGTACTGCCAAAAGGGCTTATGGTTCGCACATCTAGCACTTTAGAGTCGCCTATTTCAAAGCAGGTGATAGACATGAGTGATGGACATGAAATCATGATAATCACAGTTTGCAAACACTTGAAGCTCTAAGAAGAGAGATATAATAGAATAAATGGGACATTTTACTTGGCCAATAAGTTATGCAACAATGAATAACTAGTATTTTCAAATAGTGGAAGCGAGGGTGGGGGAAGAAGAGGAAATTTGTCTGAAACAATCATACGTAAAAATGGGATTGCAAGGGGGGCAAATGAAGAGGGGTAAAACTAGAACATTTGCATGGAAGTACATTAATCACGTTTCGTATAAATGAATTTGTCCCTTTTACACAAAAAGGAAAGCTTACTTGCCCATCTTGCATCCCTTTCTCGATGTCCACTGTGACAAAATACCCCTCCCTTTCATATTTCACATTTGGGCACTGCTCACAGACCTGCAAGGACATAACAGAGGATTTTGAAAGTCCAAATGCAAACAATGGGCATAGGTTTAGTCACATAAGCACTAGCCCAAAAAGGCGGTCTTTGTAGAGTTTGCAGCATGATTATCTAGAGGACCAACATACCTGCTCTGTCATCTGCTGGAACATCCCTGGACCGATTTGTTTGTGGTAGACCTCATTTCGACAATTGCAGCGTCTCTTACCAGGGGCTGGTTTTAAAATGTTTTTCTCCCTCCAAACCTGATGGGTTATGCATTATACAATACTAATGAGCAAATGACTGGCAATTGGCTTAACGTATACAAAGCACTCAAAAAGTTTATACTACAGCAGAACAGGTTTGGTGTTTGGTAGACTAACATCTGAATACTGCTCAGAGCATTTGCACTTTATAAAATTGATCTGAGTATGGTTATGTCAACGCTTTCTTGATTACCTCAGTGAGTGAGACTGACTGTACTACACATGAGGCAAAATGAGGGAAGTGATCCTACCACTCCCACGATATCCTAAGGCAAAATGAAGGGAATACGAGTGCTGCTTTCAACTATTCAATTGTATGACCAAATTTTAGGGCTGGCTGAATTTGCCACCCATTACTCACAGAATTTTCAATAGAATCCATGTATAATCGACAATATGAAGCTTCAGATATGATTCATTACAGCATCTATGATATGATATAATGCGCAATAAAAGCAGACAGTTGATTCATTTCGGGATGGAAACGGATAAACATATTTCTTACCTTCAATGATCCCCCCATATACAAATCTTCCAGTGTTGCATCCAACTCCACAATTACATCATTACCTTTCACGATGTTCTCTTCCTCTTCCACTGGGCCCCCACCAAAAAACCTAGAAGACAACTTCATCTTGTCAACAATCACAGAAATTAGAAAATCATAATTATCAACGTTTTCATGCATTAAAGGTCAGTTGTTCATAAGCAAGATGCATTTTGCTGAAGAAAAAGAAACGAAGGACAATTTGACTTACGAGCTAAAAATGTCTTGAATGTTCATACCCCCGCCTCCACCACCACTGGCAGCATGCTGTTTAAGACCCTCTTCACCATACTTATCATATATATTTCTCTTCTGACTATCCGATAAGACTTCATAAGCTGATAATCAACCAATCAAGATTAAAAAATGTCTAGATTACTCAGAAAACAAGAGACGAATACGAATATAATGATAAACAATTAAAAATACTATACAACAGAGTAAAGGATTGAGCATACCATTGTTAATCTCAGCGAATTTCTTATTAGCCTCTTCATTCCCCTGGTTCTTATCGGGATGATACTTCAATGCGAGCTTCCGATATGCTCTTTTGATCTGCTCGTCTGAAGCACCCTTCGGCACCTGAAGAATATCATAATAACTTTTCCTGCAATTATCCAATCGTTCAATCAGAAACTCAAAAACGCCAATATTTGCATATATAAGTATATGAATGATCATCAACACGAACCCTGAAATGGCAATTAGAGCGTAGGATGAAAAACATAATAGGAGCAACAGTTTTGATATTCGATACGCCATAGAGCTTTGGCACAGAGATCAGTAGAGAGAATGGATCTCCCTACTGAGAACCTAGGTTTTTCAATCGGATCTCCTCGCTCTCCACGACGGAAATAATATATTCCTCAATGACAACGAACTCTTCTGAACTCAATCTCTCTCTCTCTGCGAGGGATCAGCTGTCGTCTTCCCTGTGAGCTCTGGCACTTTTCTTTCCTCTGTGTGTGGTAGAGGATGAGAAGCATGTTTCGCTTTCGACGTGTTCTTGCCAAAACTGACCAATGAGAGAAGGCTTCAACTTGTTTCGGCCAATAGATGAAGGCCACGTTTTCAGTCTCTTTCCTTCTTCGTTGCGAGGAAGTTATTTTATGGGTTCTTCGAAAGTCGGTAATTAGACTTATTTGGTAAAAAATATATAGAATAAAATATGAATTAAAAAGACATGAATGTCTATTTTAGGGTCATTTAATTCAAAATTTGCTATTTTTAATCCACCTTGATTCATTTGTAATTGTTAATACATATAAATACATATTTAATGCACATTTGATTCATATGTATTTGTTAATTTATATATATATATAGTATAATAGTGTAACAATAGTAATAATAACAGTGCAATAATAATAGTGAAACAATCTATTAACACAAAATATTATACTATTACATTTTATCAAATATATATTTTCATATAATTTCATTCAAAATAGTTTATCTTTGTTTTGAATTTGTTACTATATACACAAAACTACTGAACACTATTTTTGTTATAGTGTATTGGTTACACTGTTATTGTTACTGTTTATTATTATACTATTACATTATTTGGATATTAAATTAATTTAAAAATAAAAGTATTTAAAAAAAAAAATACTTAAATCAAGGTGCATTAAATATAATTTGAAAACAAAATCATTTTTTTTAAAAAAAATACGCATGCATCAAAGTGCATTAAACATAATTTAAAATTTAAATAACAGATTTAACAACAAGTATATACATACATGTGTGTGTGTGTGTATATATACATCAAAGTGCATTAAACATAATTTAAAATTTAAATAACAGATTTAACAACAAGTATATACATACATGTGTGTGTGTGTGTGTATATATATATATATATATATATTAAAGTTCTCCCATAAAACTAAGAGATATTTAATGTACTATTTTTCAAAAAAAAGTGGTGCATTAAATACACATAGATTAATGGAGGGTAAAAATGTCACAATAAAAATAGATAAATTTAAATTATGTACTTGAATACAAATAAATATCAAAATTAAGTACTTAATAGTCCTATATTTTTTAGTATGTATTTTTTACCAAATAAATCTAATTTGGTGTATCTCCTTATAATTTACCCTTATTTTATTGTCGAGGCAAAGTTGCTATGTACAAGTAACGCACAGATGAAGAAATACGTTAGTTGTTGGGCTTCGGCCCAAAATTATCAAGGCTTTCCGATTGGTTTGGCAGCACCTAAAAAAAGCCAACCCAATTGAATTTGGGCCTGGGTTGCCTGTCATCTGTCATAGCCATGTGCTTGGACGTAATAAATAATTTTCACCAATTATGTTGAGATCGCCTACAAGTTGGTTTTGGAAGTTAAAAAAGAGATACCTAGCTATTACTTTTCTTCATTAAATATTTCGTTGTTGAGCAGTTGTGCTTTGCTTGCATGCTGCATTTTATTGCTAATTTACTTAGTGCACCTAGTGGTAAATGTAGTTAAACATGAACCCAATATCACCTGGTGGAAAGCTTGCTTTCGTGAGAAAATTTGTTTAAGAAAAAATGTGGTGAATCCCCTTGGTGACAAATCTGTAGCGATAAGATTGAATCAGTTGAACACCTCCTTTTTGAATGCGAGTGGACTAAGAAGGTCTAATTTGGGTGTGATCCGGGACTGAGAATGAAATTGAATCTTCGTCAAACGATTGTACAGTAGGCCTTGACTTTGATGGACAGTCTTAGGGATACCTCCCAATCGCTGGAAGTGATGGGGGATCTGGAATTCCCATAACCAGTTCATATTCAAGCAAGATGTCCTCAATGCATTGGCCACTTTGATGAGAGCACAGAAGTTGTGGAGTGAGGTGATGGCTATTGATAAGGGTAGTCAAGGGGGTCAACATGAAGAAGTGCATAATCTACAGGTAAAAAAACCCAGGCCATAACCAAGGTGCAAAGCTGAGCTGCGATGGCGCTTTTAAGAAAGGAGAAGCTGCTATAGGGGTGATTCTTAGGGGAACAAACGAGGCACTGATGGGGGTTATAGCCAAACGAATTCCTGCGATCTCCAGCCTATTTTCCGAAGTTGCTTCTCTTAGAGAAGCTTGTCTCCTGACTTCAGCTAGTTAACTCCAACAGGCGACCATCGAAAGCGATAATATAGAGTTAATCAAATTGAGCTCAACTGAAGACACTCCTCCATGGGAAGTTAAGGCCTTTGTTAGGGATAGTAGACACTTTGCTACAGTTCTGAATTGAAGATTTTTATTCAAACCAAAAGCTCTTAATAGAGCAGCTCAATGGATTGTATCCGAAGCTTTGTCAAACTCAATTCCATTGGATTGGGTGAGCTGCCCCCCACCCAAGCTAAAGACTTTGTTAGTTACCGACTGTAATCAACTTTTTTCCTACATAATGAAATTTCAGAATAGTTTTACTTTTAAAAAAAAAAAAAAAAACAGAAACATTACAAATTCTAATCTACGAGTTCAATCCTCATCCAACTTAGCATTCGTTGGGCTCCCATTCTCTTTTTGCATTGTTTTATTAAGCACTCAAAACCCAAAAAAAGTTACTTGTTCGTGTGAACAGGCCTCAATCATGTGCAGTCAAATGGATTAGGTTGTTTAATTCGGCCACTATTCTGGGATGTCAAAGGCTACCTACTAAGCATAAATAGAGGCGTAATTTCACACAACTGGTAGCATAATTAATATAACATCGGTGTCGTACAGACTATAGGACTTTAATAACAAGGGATTATAATATAGTGATGGTTAGAATTAGGTTTTACATTCAATATTTTTGGGACTTTATTATTGGGTTTTAAGGGCTGAAATAAAAAAAATTAGAATAAAGAGGGGTTAAAATAAATACGCTGAAATAAAGAGAGGAGAAAAATATATTTTGTCAAAAAAAGTGATTGGCTTTAACCTATGTTGTTCCTATGGGAGGCGGCTATATATTTATTCTTTCCCTAGGAGTGGCGGCCAGAGAAACGAAAAGGTCAAAGAAGACAGGCGGCTGGACAGAAGACGGACGCATATCAGAGCAGAAAAAATTTTGATGGCTGCCGATTTGTTGTATTTTTTTAGGAAATTTTTTTTAGGAAATTTTTATTGTCGATTATATTTCTGAGTAATTAAATTCTTAGGAAGGTGAGGGATCAATTTACACAATAGAAAATATTTTATTTATTTTTAATTTATATATTTGATTTCTAATTAGTTAAACTTTTTTGTTTTATCATTCTAAATTATTGTTTATGTTTTTTTTTCTGAATAATCATAAAATTTATTCTGTTTATGGATTCAATCATATTTTTCTATTGAATGGATTAACTCTTTGAGTATGTTTGGATCAATTATTTATCTTTATTGATATAATTTTTTACTTCAATATTATTTTTCAAAAATATTGTCGTCGTTGAATTTTTTTAATAATGATAATAATTTACGTATTTTAAAAATGGTGAATGATTTTTCAAAGGGTTACATTTGGTTTAATCTTGATTTATAAATCTATATCTTCCGGTTGTGAATTTTGGGAATTATATTCTCAATTGAGTTATTCAATGAATTAAAAATAATTAAAATATCATATTTGTGTAACAGATTTTCGCCGTTTTACTGTTTGTTAAATTTGAATACTTTTTTTGTTAGTCACTTTGTTTCACTTTAAATTATATTTAAAACTAATCTTTGTTCTTTAATAATTATTTAATATATTTCTTTTGTTCTTTTGTTCATTTTATTATTTTTTTAATTTATCTCTCTGTAAAATTGATATCCCAAAACTGTGCTACAACTGCCGCGTTATTTTTTAGGCGTAATCAATAACATAATAGTTATTTATATACAAATATATAATCATAATAATTGCATATCCCTGCGTATATCAAATATGAGTATGAACAACATTAAATGTTGAATTCTATTTTTAAGTTTGAAAAAATTAATTCAAATTTCTTTAAAAAAAAACATACCAAACAGACCCTAGATGGTCATGGAAGATCATGATATTCCAGCTTTGTTGAAGGAGTTAGGCACTTCTACGGTCATAAGAACGACAAGTTTACTCTAACGTGATCTAAACTTCACCGGCTCGAGTGGTGAAATAACCTCACTATATATGTGATGACAAAGTTGCCAACATTTAAACACTTTAGATCTAATATTTTCAAGAACGACGAAAAATAGGAATATATATTTTTCATTCTTTATAGATGAAAAGTAGAAATAATATACTTTCTGTATTTTGTGTTTAGTTGGATGGACGTAAAATAAAAATAACTATTTTTTTTAATTATTTTTTGTGTCGATTAAAATTACGGGTGATAATTGAGTTGTGTCATGTTAGATTTGTATTGAATCATAAAATTATGATTCTTTTATATTTTTTGTTCGCATGTCAGGTCATTTTCAAGTTGGTGGCGAATTATAATCAAGTTCGTGTCATAAAATTCGTGTTGAGTCAAAAATTTTCACCCCTAGTTAAGATGAAAAAAATATTTTTTTAATTTAAAATTTTATTATATATATATATATATATATAATTAACTTTCTATCTAATTTCCTTCCGATTTTGAAAGAATTAATTTTTGTGAGTTGAAAGGAAAGTGAATCTATCTATTTTTCTATTATTCTTATTTTTTTTTCTTATCAAACATAATATTTTATTTATTCCTCCAACTTTCAATCATCGCATAAGAATACGTGACAATACACAGATTTGTCTCACGCAAGAACAGGCAAAACTTGGACTTGGACATGCTATGTAAATTCAAAAGAGAAAGTGGGTACCAGAGGTAGATGGAAGTAATAAAAGCGATGAATGTGATTTGTGAAGTGGCGTGTAACTCATAAGGACAAACGTAAAGAGAAAGAACAAACCAATTGGTCGTCCGAGGGATTACCAACGTGGGAGATGGAAGCCCGTCACGATGCTATCGAAGGTAGAGAAGCCACGACAAGTCCCTGGCCATGGAGCCCTCGTGGCACAACCTTCCACCACAAGACTTGCGCATCACTGGCCCCACTTCGCTGTCTCTCTCTATAAAAGACAAAGTTTACCTTTCTAGAACTCTCACTTGCAAACAATATCATTTCTATGCATTCGCACATACATGCAGTCCTAACTCGTCAGTCAACAAGGCTTACTACCCACAAAAGGTTATAGTTTTACTTTGGGGTGTGTGTGTGTGGGGCTAAGGCGTTTAGCCAGAAATGGGGAGGGCACCGTGTTGTGAGAAGGTGGGTCTGAAGAGGGGAAGGTGGACAGCTGAGGAAGATAAGATATTGACCAACTACATTCAAGCTAATGGAGAAGGGTCATGGAGATCATTACCCAAGAATGCTGGTATGAAGTGTTCTAGTGCTCTAGTTTACGTTTTAACAATAATTAATATTAAATGTTCTTGGCCTTGAGATTTGTTATTTTTGATTTGGTTTGATATTTGGATTTTCAAAGGGCTATTGAGGTGTGGGAAAAGCTGCAGACTGAGATGGATTAACTACTTAAGATCCGACTTGAAGAGAGGCAACATATCTGCTGAAGAGGAAGAAATCATCATCAAGTTGCACGCATCTTTGGGGAACAGGTCAGTTCAGTATTCATACTCTAATATGATAAGAGTACTTTGTTTTTCCAAGAAAAAGATTACTGGATTCTAAATAATATAGGATCCCAATAGAAAAGTTTAACCATTATAATCACAATAATTTTATTAAATCATGTCGCCGTCACACCAATAAAAAAGTTTAACCGTAATAATCATAATAATTCTATTACACTATACAATTATCGCATCATTCGGTCAAAAAAATTAACTTATATTTTTTGCTCCATAACAGTAATCCATAAAAAACAATCAATATCTCTCTTTTTCCTTTTCTGCAGGAAAAAAAATGAAGGCTTTCAGAATCAACCCACAATTATGTGTCCTTTTTGTACCACTTTTTAAATTTGAGAAATGCTATAAGTAATTAACTTAAAATCTAATTAATCAGCAAATTAATTCACTAAAATACTCTTCTTTTTTTTTTGACCGTCTCTGTAGTGCTGCAACCGAAAAAGTAACTAATAATATCGTTAGGAAAGAGTTGGATAGTTGAATACTTGACAGATGAATGGAGAAGCTGTTGGTTGTGTACCTAATAAAGTGGTTGTTTTTGTCTTTGTGAGAAGGTGGTCTTTGATTGCGGGTCACTTGCCAGGTAGAACAGACAATGAGGTCAAGAACTACTGGAACTCTCATTTGAGCAGAAACATCAAAACCTTTAAGACGTCCAGAAACCAAACCCTATCACCAGTCGCCATGGATTTAGCAAAAGCAGGCATGGCAAGAAATAGAAGAGGTGGCCGAACAAGTCGATCAGCAATGAAGAAGAAAACCAACTTCCCTGTCAAATCTTCTTCGAAGTTAGTGGAGGAACATAAAGAAAGTAAACCTGTGAACGTTGCTGTTGCAATTCCACCAACACCAAACTTAGATAAAGAAGCTTTGGCCTTGTCTAGTGCCCTCTCTTGGCAGGAGGAAATAGAGAACTTGACTTTGCCCAGTCCTCCTTATAAGATTTCTGAAGTGGAATTGCTGGGTTGTGGTGAGGAGAGAGAAAGCAGCAACTTACTGTTGTGGCCTGGTGAAAATGAGCAAAATGAGTTCTTGAGGACAAATCATGAAATGCTGGATAGCGAGATGTCGTTTCTTAATGACATTGTGGGCAATGAGGAAATGGATCCAAATGATGATGTTGTGGCTTTTAGTGGAAAGAAGGAAGAAAATAATGTCATAGTTACTGAGGAGAGGGAAAGCGGGACCGTGGTGTTCAGTGAAGATCTTGAGAGTGGTAATTTAAGCTCATCAAATGCAGAGAGCGGTGAGGGCCAGTCTTGTTCGTCAACAAATTCATATATGAATGAGGGCAAGCTTGATTGGGGCTGGGATTGTGATGGTGGGTTTCAAGGAAATGAGCTATGGTGTGAAACAGATAGATTGTTGTCTTGGCTGTGGGAGGCTACTGATAATGGGGAACGAGATTGTAATAAACAGCTGGGAGAAGAAGAGATGGATTCTGAGAAGCAAAATGCAATGGTTGCATGGCTTCTCTCTTAATTAAACCATTTTCCCACTCGAATTTTGTTCTTTTGTATGTGTAGAATCTTTATTAGCTTAGGTAAATCGATTCCATGTATCTTTATTTAAGTGGGAAGGGTGTGAAATTGTGAATTGATTAGTTTCTATGATGCCATTGGACACTAATTTACTTTGGTATTATTTCTTCTTTTCTGTTTGAATCGTAATGTGACAATGAAAACATTTTGTATTAATTGCATATAACTTAATTTAAAAGGTTGAGTAATGCTAGATGAACTTAAAAACTAGACTTAAAAATTAGACTTGATATAAGTAGTGGGTCCCAATAAATGTTGGGAGCCACAGTTAAATAAATAGTTGAGATTATCAAATTTAGTTTTTAAGTCTATTTTTTAAGTTCATATAGTATTGCTAAAGGTAAATATCATTTTGTCCCTGAAAGATACAAAAAAATTTAGTTTGTCATTTGAATAATTAATTTTTTCACATTATCCCCTTAAAGAATAAAAAAATATTGTAATATAATCTACCGTTTTATTTATGTTTAATTGTCCGTCGATTTTATACCAAATAAACTAATTAGGAATCACAAAACACATGTACAACAAAATGAAAATAAAACGATGGATCACATTATAACGTCTTTTATTCTTTAAATAGACAATATGAAAAAATTAATCATTCAAACAAACTGAAAATTATTATATCTTTTAGGGGACAAAATAAAGATTTATAATTTAGATTATTTTTTTGGATATCATACACTTATGTTGCATGTGAGGTGGACTTGTCACACTCCCACCCCGGATCACATAGGGTGGGCAGTAAATCGGTCACCAAGACCTTAACCAATCAACTTTATGCATAATAAATGCAAAATTCAGCAAAAAATAAATAATAAAGTCATCAATTCTATTGACTTAATGAATACCAGAAGAATAAATTAAACATCACTAACATCATTACTAAATCCATGTAAAACAATAATTAAATCATAAGGTTCACTACTTTAAACATAAGCAATATTGTTTCCAAATCAATTAAACATTTGTCTCAAAATTATAAAAGACATTTATTTCTGAAAACGTACAATCAAATAAATTTTCAAGTTCTCTAATCCCTTGCATATTCGCAAACTTACTCATCACCCTAATCCTTTCCTGAAAAATATTAAATATTTGGATGAGCACAGAGGCCCGTGAATAGCTATCACCTCTAATAAGGTGTGAAAATAAATCCCACAGTTTATATACAAAAATAAATTTTGATACATACATAAATACAATAAATTGTACTCAATCTCTCTCACATAATCATGCAAACAAAATGATCTTATGATCACAATAATGAAAAAACATATATAACCTAAAACACTCATTCATTTTCACAAATAATTTTATAAATGAAAGGACATTTATAACTCAAAACACTCACACACACACACACACACACACATTCAATCCCAAATATATTTGTCAAATCATGTTTGTTACCACTAGTCTGGTAGTTGACCCAGTCTATTGTTACCACTAACCTAGTAACTAGCTCAGCCTCTTGTCATCACTACTCTGATGACTAGCCTCTTGTTATCACTTAAACCTGGTAACGCCAGTCCCTGTCTCATAAACATGATTTTAACACACACCAAAACTATAGTTTTAGTTCCAACGCGCACAAAATTTCTCTTTCATCACCAAAGTAATGATATAAAATCATCCCACAAGTTTTTCAAAATTCACTTGTATAACAATTCATAATTTTAAAATATTTAATTGTAACCCTAAACATCAACATATATATGAAAAATTCACACGTAGACACCCACTAATTTAATATAAAAAATTCTCCAAAAAAAAGTAATAAACTACTCACATTGATTCTCAAACTTCAATTCAAAGCCTTTTTTCTTAACCTCAATGTAATCATTACCTAATTCAAAATAACATATAACGATCAATCTCTATTTCTAATTTTATTATTTTACGATTATATATTTAATTTTTATACTTTCTACTCATTGATATATACTTTATATATCCTTTACATGGAGATAATATTTTTAATGTGAGCTAATAGGGTATAGAAGTAATCTGAGTAGTTTATAAAAAGTTTTTAAAATTTTGGGGTCACATCATAATTTTTAAAATTTTTGAGGTCAAAGTATAATTTTCTTGAAAAAAATCTACTATTTCAACTTACCAAGTAAAAATATGGTTAAAAATAAGTTTAAAAAATATAGGGGTCAAAATAAATTCTTTGAAATCAAAGGGACAAATGATATAATTCCTGAACTTGTCCTCCTCATCCGATCAACTCTTCCACGTTGTACAACTTAAAAGAAAAGTCTAATCCCTTGTTTTTTTTTTCAAAGAGTCTTCTTGACACACACATTCACCATTATATTGACATATAATTGGATACATATAATATAATCTTCTAATTAATACACCCTGCCTCTTCCTCAATCACCAACTTAAACCTTTCATAAGTAATATCTCAACTACTTTAAACGCTTTGCATTCAAATCCAATAGCTCCCTTATTACTCCAATTCTTTTTATTTAAAGGAAAAGTAAAAGCATGTATGTGTGCACATGTGTGTATATTGAATTCCTTATTATAATTTTAGAAGAAAAACTCACCTTGAAAATCAGCCGCTCTCTCCTTCTTGTTCTTCTTCTCTCTCTCTCTCTCCCTCTCTCTCTCTGCCGCACGTTGGATTCTCCTCAGCCCACAATTTTTGTTTTAACGATATAACAAATATGAGGCAACTTAGGGTAGCCGTTGAATTACATAAAAGGTGTAGCACTCAACTATTTTTAATAATCCTAAAATCCCTAAATATTAGTGTACAACCAATATTACAATTCTAAAACTCTATTCGACTAAGTATCTATAATTATCTGGTATTTTTCCCTGCACCAAAAAGGCTAAATTATCTCTATTGATTTTCAAATCATATCCATAAGTCCATAAGAATATATCCGAAACTAAACAAAAGTATAAAAATTTTCAAATCCAACTTATTCAATTTTATTTTTATTATTATTATTGTTATTGTTATTGTTATTTTATTTTTTTTACCTTGGGTATTACAGGACCTATGTTTGGAAGGAACTAGAGTTATGTATATTCCTCCGATTTCCCAAGCCAACACCATGAAAATTGGGTCATGTACTCGGAAGTCATAGGAATGAATAACGAAGTCTATGAGGAATATGGCACCCGAGTGGGCAAGAAACAAAAAGACATAGCAGCTGATACGGCACTTTTTATTTCTGAAACTCTTCTTTTATAATAAAACTATGGGTTAAACCACTTTTAAATATAAACTATAATGAACTAAAAAAAATTAAGTTAAGAACAACATTAAGTAAAAAAATCATGAAAATTTGAAAAAAAAAAAAAAAACTGGAAAGACCCATTTGCATGAGTAGATCAGAAAACCTTAATTGCGCATTGAGAACACTGGGTAGGTATCGGTGTGTGTGAGACAATTAATGGACAAATGGAGGACTTGTCCCTGGATGGACCACATCTCTTCCACCATTAAAGTGGCACTTTTGATGGCATGTGACGACAATTACCAATCATGGAAAACAAAAAACAAAAAACAAAAAAAAATTGTCTTCGTTTGGCTGGGTCAAATCCAATCAAAGAAGCTGTCTTCTTGTATCTGCGGCTAATTTATTGCAGTAATCACATTCGTCACCTTTCCAAATTTCATCCTGAAACTAAATTGAAAGTAGATCAACATATTCTTTTTTACGCCTTTACTCAATTTTTCAACTACCGATTTATTATTTATACATGAACCCCCTTAATCAAATAGAAAAACACAGGATAATTGATCTACTATTAAATAAAATAGAGTCAAATATATGATCAAAGTTAGTTACCCAAAAATAAAAAATATAATCGAAATGGTTATAGAAATATCCGATTGACTGTATCATGGACTCAAAAGAGCACCTCATAAGCCATAATTCACTCACGCGGCCTGGTTGAGGAATTGAATCTTTCAACCTTCTTGTTAGCGTTCCACCGAGCCCACGGCTGTAGGGATTGGGACACGAATTTAGGCTCCCAAGCCATGTGTTTTGGACCAAACGGGAATGACCCACTACTTAGAGAGCCCTTTTCATCTTGCATCGAGTCTCGCCGCTGCACAAGCAAGAATGCAAGTAACTTTACCCCTACCTTATGAATTATGATTGAATCATTCTATGGGCCTAAAAAAGAAAAGCCAAGTGTTTTAATCAGTAGGAGGTAATCACGAGTTCAAATAACAACTTAATTTGGTCTAGATGTTATTTTGGCCTATTGATCTATCAAAAAGCCAATATCTATTATATTATATACCTATACACTAACATATCAATAGCCTAAACAAAATTTCAAACTCGAGTTCCTCCAAAGCCCAAGCCGAGGTTAGAGCAGGTTCATTATCCAACTAATGAAGCATTTACTCTGCAGGCTCATCCCCTTTTAAGTTCATGTTCAACATCCTGCAAGACTTTTCCTGGTTTTCAGGCTCTGAGATACGTGAGGAAGAGCATTCTGTAATCTGATACTCCCTTTCATCAACTAAAGACTTCATGTAACAGCACGGCTGCTCCTCAGCTTCGATATTATGCCCAGGTTCTTGCCCTGGAACAAATGGCAATTCGAAAGGTGATGGGCCAGCAGGTTGTGTCCGCATTTGCACAGACCGCAATAGTGCAGCCCTCCTCAAGTCTGCTGAGTGGCATATATCACTGGGTGATGAGGGGAACCGACCCTCTGAATCTGAGCCTCGTTGACGAGACTGTGGAGATGTGGCAGCAGGGGGAGTGCATCCATGGGTAGAGTATGAAGTGGTGGGGGGACCAGATGCGAACCCACCTAGTGGTCTTTGGTACCTATAAGGAGACACTGGACTAGTGGGTACACTATCAGGTAGGGATGAGCATGTGTTTGTTGGAGTCTCATAGTACCGAGAGTCATCTGAATCATCCGACATTGGTGAATATTGTAAAGACATCTCATCCCTGAAACCATAGAAATTATATTAATAACTTCAAGGGAAGAACAAGGTGCCATCCCACCAGTAAAAACTAAACGTACAGAAACAGATATTATTCAAGGTGTCTACCAAACCAGCCAACTTGCATAAACATGTGTTACAAAACCTTGACACACTGACGCAAAAAATAAGGGAATATCAAAGACATGCAGAGAAGAAAGTTTAAAGTGCTATCATTGTTTGTAACTAAGGAGACCTCCATGACCCTGTTCATGTGGCTTCTTTATTTTTTCGAAGCTTATTGTATCCCCAAATTGTTTCACCAATCTTTTGGCTCAGACTCCAAATTACAAATAACATATTAATGCTGATCTTAAAATGGGAAAGGTGAATCCAGTGTAGCGAGCTATTATGGAGAGAAATATAATACTGTCCCGATTCTTGAACATATGGATAATAAAACACTTTTATCAAATGTTGCCACTCAGCAAGATTTCATAAAAAAATATCCCCATATAGGAAAAAAAAAGTGTGGTGGACAACCATCCACTCAAGAAATGCCCCAGAAACCTGAAAAGGCTCAAATCTTTCCATCAAAGGTTCGCACATAAAAAATGCACATAGTAAGGCACTTAACACGTGCAATAGTGCAGGATCCACCCCTTGTCCCTGTCTATTAGTGAGGGGCGATGAGACCGGGGAAACCATATTAAGGAAGTCACTCTTTAGGTGGCTTCTACTTTTCCATTTTCAGCTAACATGAACCCCCAAATTGGTTTTAGGAAGTATCAGAGATCTGGAGATCAGAAAGCTGACATCCCTTGTATGGCTATAAGTCTTGTTAGTTCTTGGTTCTCTAACTAAGCTTTAATCAAAAAAATTCCGAGATACAAACCCCACCTCCATCAATGGTTGAGGTGGGGTTGATTGGCCAAGAGTTCACAGAGTTTAATTTAGTAAAATACTCACCAGTCTCCCACAACAATGCCTGCCCTTTTGAGCATAAGCATAGGCTCATTCCTCAAAACCAAAAGGCTTATAAAAAGGATATTTGCACCTAGAAATTTGTTTTGTCCTACAGGCATCCAATTATGCCAGACTGCATAAAATATAATGTTAGATCCAGTTAGGGATCAAGCCATGCTAAAACTAGTCTTGTCACTGTTGTCAGTAGATACCATATAGGATTAGGAACTAATGGTTAAATCCACAAGGAAATTTTGCTTCAGGGCCAATTAAACCCTCAATATCTCCCAATTCAGATAATGTCAGCAAGGAGAAGTCATCAGTTACATGTTCTAATGTGCATGGTTGACCTACAGAAACGACCTTCTCTACCTAAAGAGCAGCAGTGCCAAACAAATAATCCAATGTCCATATGTAAAAAGTAAATAAATTGTTTACCTAAGATGAAACATACTCTCAGACCTTCCAGAGGAGTCCATCAGGGTTTCGTGGATTGGGTCTCCAACTGTCAATCCATTTAAGCTTGAAGCCATAATCTGCACGATTACCAAATATATTTAATTCATAAGCTAAAGGCGCCTAGAGTACATGCCGCTCAAGCACATATCAAATCCTGCTCAAACACATACAAAGCCAGCCAGCCATAAGCAAACATACATATTCAATATATGGCAATAATAATTACCCACGAAGCCACACGATTATGANTCCATCAAAGGTTCGCACATAAAAAATGCACATAGTAAGGCACTTAACACGTGCAATAGTGCAGGATCCACCCCTTGTCCCTGTCTATTAGTGAGGGGCGATGAGACCGGGGAAACCATATTAAGGAAGTCACTCTTTAGGTGGCTTCTACTTTTCCATTTTCAGCTAACATGAACCCCCAAATTGGTTTTAGGAAGTATCAGAGATCTGGAGATCAGAAAGCTGACATCCCTTGTATGGCTATAAGTCTTGTTAGTTCTTGGTTCTCTAACTAAGCTTTAATCAAAAAAATTCCGAGATACAAACCCCACCTCCATCAATGGTTGAGGTGGGGTTGATTGGCCAAGAGTTCACAGAGTTTAATTTAGTAAAATACTCACCAGTCTCCCACAACAATGCCTGCCCTTTTGAGCATAAGCATAGGCTCATTCCTCAAAACCAAAAGGCTTATAAAAAGGATATTTGCACCTAGAAATTTGTTTTGTCCTACAGGCATCCAATTATGCCAGACTGCATAAAATATAATGTTAGATCCAGTTAGGGATCAAGCCATGCTAAAACTAGTCTTGTCACTGTTGTCAGTAGATACCATATAGGATTAGGAACTAATGGTTAAATCCACAAGGAAATTTTGCTTCAGGGCCAATTAAACCCTCAATATCTCCCAATTCAGATAATGTCAGCAAGGAGAAGTCATCAGTTACATGTTCTAATGTGCATGGTTGACCTACAGAAACGACCTTCTCTACCTAAAGAGCAGCAGTGCCAAACAAATAATCCAATGTCCATATGTAAAAAGTAAATAAATTGTTTACCTAAGATGAAACATACTCTCAGACCTTCCAGAGGAGTCCATCAGGGTTTCGTGGATTGGGTCTCCAACTGTCAATCCATTTAAGCTTGAAGCCATAATCTGCACGATTACCAAATATATTTAATTCATAAGCTAAAGGCGCCTAGAGTACATGCCGCTCAAGCACATATCAAATCCTGCTCAAACACATACAAAGCCAGCCAGCCATAAGCAAACATACATATTCAATATATGGCAATAATAATTACCCACGAAGCCACACGATTATGAAGAAATCCAAAGGTACATTGGTAAAAAATTAAAAAAAAAAAAAAAAAAAAAACCCTACAATATTCTCAGAAAAAAGAAAATGCTTTAAATTCCCAAATTGAGTTTACCGGAACTTCACTTCAAGAAATGCATCAACGAATATACGTTTAAGTATATCAAGAAACACATCAAGTGCGCATATGGAACCCATTAGTCGACAGAAATAGTTATAAGAAAGAAAACAGAAGAAATGGAAGAAAAAATATAGGTATAGAGAAAGAGAGGCACCTCGCTAAGGTAACGCTTGTGAGAGTGAAGATTATCAAGATAAACCTCGTCTTCTGGATCTCTATTGCGCTTCCCACTGGGAGACGCTGAGGCTGAGGCTGACGATGGGTTCATCTCGGAACCCATTGTTCTAATCCACTCTGTTTTCGCACTCCGTTGTATCAATTGATCTCAACCCCCCAAATACGAAAAGAAAATCTCAATAAATACAAGGAGAATAAACATAATCATATAGAGAGAGAGCACAACACACTACAATCATGTTTTTTTTTTTTTTTATTTAAGAGTCCCAAAAACAGAAAAGAAGAAGCGATGATGCGGTGGAGAATCTGAAAAACGTTTGAGGAAGTCGAAGTGCGCATTGGGTTGATCTATTTAAGAACCAACCATCTAATAATAAAGCCCACAAATTTTCTGGTCCAATCCAATTTTTTTGTGTAAATTGGGCTAGAATTATGATAACTCTTAACTACACTTGAATTGAGTTTTAAATTATTCAAATTCGATTTTAAAAGTATAATCTGAATTTGACGAAATTTATTTTTATAGTTCATATCCAAATACGTTAATAATCTGAATAACTTAATTAATTTTTAATAAATTATCCATAAATTTCTTTAAATAATTACTTAATTTCTTTAATATCTATATAAAAATATATAAATAATTTAGAATTCAAATTCGAGTTCGAATTATCATTAAATAAAACCAAATTATTAAGAACAAATAATTCTCAATTTGATAGTTATATGGGCTTGGGTATATTAAGCACGCTACCCAATGTAAAGCCCTTGTTCAACACAGAAGTTTGATGTTTATGGCCTACTTCTCTTACCTTCAAAACCGCACTTCACTCTCATGAAATACCCAGCGCTCTGTCTACGTTTTTCGTTTTCATTTTTTTTTTCTGCTTTCTTTTCAGAGCGGTTGGAGGGGAGCTAAAGATTATTCAATGCGATTATTCAATTCACGTTCAATCTATCTTCATAATGGTATGGGTTTAGACACATTCAGTCCCAATCAAATACAAATGTCTTCTAAGACATTTATTATGAGTTCAAGCATACCCACTTGATCTCAGTGGATGTTCTTGTATTTTATTCAGAAGGACGGCCCAAGGGTTTACAAAGATGCATCTCATCTTTTTTATTGTCCTTTAAATTCAATTTTCGTACAATAAAACAAGCACATTTTGCCCATAAACCTTTACTTTTCACCATGCTACATCATGCTTGGGTTGCACCTATAGTGGTCCTGCGCAAATCCAAGCCAACCTAAACTCAAAGGGGCAAAATGACCCAAGCCCAGTCCAACAATCGAAAATCTAACTATTCAGACCTGTTTGCGTTAAACTCCTTCATTTTAGGTATGCTACAATCCATGGAGCAAACAAGAAGCACATATTTTAAGTACTCCATCAACACGGGCAACGTCTCTCCTTCTCTCTCAGCTGGACGCCACGTATAGAGGTGAATTTAAATGTTTCCTAACACCTCACCCTCTCTTGATCCAAGTTTCGAACAATTGGGTAGCAATATATACAAGATGCCACACCCCAATAACTTGTAGTACTCTTCTATGGACCATAAATTTAGCCACCCGTCCACATGTGCCAATGACATGACACTCTTCCCAGGCATTAAACCTGTCCAATCAGTATTAGCAAACAAAACAAGAGAAAAGCTTGGGTGGAAACAAACAGGACACACTCATAGCTTTACAAGTGTGGGTCAGATGCAGCACCGAACAGCAACTGGAATTACAATCTTCCCATGTGAATGGTTCCGAAATCTAACTTGAAAAGGAAAAATTGGACATTACAGCTAACCTAACAAAACACCCTGTGAGGTCAGCCATTTTCAAGCAAAATAACAAGTGGATCTTGGTGATATTAGACAATAATGGTCCAAATATGTACCGAGTTATAAGAAAACGTCAACAGCTTTAGAAAATACGAAGCAAAATAAAATGTGGAATATCTGCAAGTAGTTTGGGATCCAAGATGCTGCATACCACATGCCAATCAAGAGACCCATAACCGCCTCATTATAGAGAACATTAAAAGACAGACAACCACAGAAAAGCAGCCTTTTTGAAAGACCACATTCATAAGTCCTCATGATATAAACAACTACACTAATAAGACTCTTCTTCCTAATTTATAGACTTTTAAAGATTCAATACATTTTGTATCATTGCCAGGAAAACCCCTTCAATGTTAAAATCAACTAATAACAGGCAATGGATTATTGCAACCTATAAGAAAGCATAATATGATAAACCAACGGCCAGAGCCTAACATGCCAATAGCTGAACTAGCAAATCGATAAGGGAGATCCAAACTTCTGTGTTCTTGCCAATAATTATCCAGACGAAGCTCTCTCCACTATATCGAAGCATTAAGGCTACCAAACGTAAAATAATATTATCCCTAAAACTATACAAAAACAAGAACAACGGTTTACCAGGAAGACACTGGATTCAACGTCTTGTTGAGTCCATTCAGAGCGCCATAACCTTTAGAACTAAACCCCAAGCAACCAAGAAGACCTTGTCTGTATGGCAAAAAAGTTTTCTTCTTCATCTCCTCAGCCTTTGCCGCGTAATGCAACTCATGCGGCGACAACGGAATCCTCTGCTTCGAGACGCCGTTGGCAAGTTTACCGTAAGCCGATTTTTTCGCCGGAACTTGCTTAAACAGCTTTTGCCTCTGTGTCTCCATGTTAGCCTTCTCCTTTCCATCTCTCGAAGAGGAGGGAGTGAGAGTTGGTGAAGAAACTTTCTTCTCCTTCGATGGCGAGAAGGAAATCGAAGACCAGAACTTCTCTTTATTAATTCCTCTACCTTCGCTTTTGCTTCTATACAGTAGATCCTTCAAGAATATCCACTTCTTCGAGTTCCTTCCAGATGATGAAGACCTCGAAGAAGATGCGGAACCAAACGGCGTCGTGTCAATGGAAGGCATATCACTCTGTTTTATGTTCTCAGCGTCATCTACCTCTGAATTTTTTTGCTCAGATAATTTTTCGTCGTGCCACTGAAACGCCACACTTCTTCTGAGTGGAGACATAGATCTGGCTTTTCGGTGATGAGATATGTTACGCAATCTCAGATCTCTACCTCTTGTGACCGACTCCTCACTCTTTCCCAATTCTGAAGCCTTAATACCGTTTTCTTTCTCTTCGTCTTCCACGTCTAGATCTAGCAATGGAACCAAGGCCTGAGGCCTTTCCAAGTGAGACGAGAGCTTAATCGGCCGTATCTTGCCGTTCAAAAACAACTCATCCGCCGAACTCATGGATCCATTCACCGTCGAACCGTTCGGCGAAAATCTTGACGAGAACTCGAACTCAAACGAACCGGACGAATTCAACGACGACTCCGTTGGCAACAATATTGACTTAGAAGACAAAGCCGCAGCTGTAGACAGTACGAAGTGCACTGGACTCGCCGGAGCACTGAAAAAGTAGCCGGATGGACAAGGGGAGCCACGGCCGGGGCTCGACGGTGCGCTGACGTAAGGTGTGGAACATGTGCTGTCAATGTCTTTGCTAAGACGGTGAGTTTTGTAAATGCGGTCATTAAAGGGGAAGTGAAGAACTGGTTCGGAAGCCTTGGATTCGCCATTGATGGGGTCGGAGTTGGAGAGTAAGAGGATCATTATTGGAGAGAGGTGAGCGAAAGAGGTAGGTTTAGAAGTAAGAAAGGAGTAGCGTCTGATTAGCTTGATGGACTCGCAATTATTACAGAGGGCGCTCTGAGCGACGAGAGAATGCATGGAGTAGACTACCGTACATCGCAGAAAATATTTGGTAACATATCAAAAATTTTAAATTTGTGAAAATAATTACGATCTCAATAATATGTTTATGGGATTATTTATAATTTAATGGGTTACCTATTACATATCGATTGATAAATAAAATAAGACATTGAAATGACATGTCAGATAATATATCATGATTACTAGTAATTTTGTTATCATAATGAATGAAATATTTATAACTTCAGTGGTATATTTATTAAATTTGTATAAATATTTACAATTTGAGTGATATATTTATCAAATTTATGAGAATATTTACAACTTAATTGGTATGTTTACCAAATTTGTAAAAATAATTATAAACTCAGTGGTAAATTCACTAAATTTATGGAATTATTCACAATTTCAATAAGTTACATGTTACATATCGGTTGATAGATAAGATAAGACATTGAAATGACATGTTAGATAGTACATCAGGATTACTAGAAATTTTGTTACCATAATGAAAGAAATATTTATAATTTCAGTGATATATTTATCAAATTTGTAAGAATATTTATAATTTTAGTGGTATATTTATCAAATTTGTGGAAATATTGACAACCTCAGTGGTATGTTTTCTAAATTTATGGGATTATTTATAACTTCAATGAATTCTTTACGACATTTATGAGAATATTTACAATTTTAGTGAAATGTTTACCACATTTGTGTAAATAATTACTATATTAAAGATTTTGTTACAATAATGAAGGTAATAATTATAACAATTGTCAATTTTTTTACGAGAGTTGTGAATATTTTTTACGAGAGTTGTATTTAATCTATAACTAATTTACAAGAAATCAAAGAACATATACCAGTTTTGTGGACAAAATTACTAGTGGGGAGCAGTATTTACTAATTCAATAGTATATTTTACGATATTTAATAGTTCATGATTGATCATTAAATATGATTGATCGATCAATACACCATATGTGTGCTTAATTTATGAATATTTTACAACTAATTCAAGAAAATATACAACTTCAAATGATCAGTTACCACTTTTATGGGAATATTTACAATTTCAATAGATTCTTTATGGGAATATTTACAACTTCAGTAGATTGTTTACCAAATTTGTGAGAATAATTAGAACTGCAATGGTTTGCTTACTAGATTTATGGCAATATTTACAACTTCAATAATTTTTTTACGAATCTGCAATAACATGATCCGATGTTTATTTACTACAAAGCCCTTCTTACAACACTTATTAATTCTTCTTTGAAGGCATTTAAGTAAATACATAATAATTAAAATATGATTGATCGCAATCCCACTTGCCCCTTCAACTTCTACATTTGTAACTCAACGATCGATAATTAAAGATATTTGATCAATCAAATGTCCCTAGTATTTATGATCAGCAACAATTTGATCGATCGTTTAAAAAATATGATAGATCACTTTGAAGTATGTTAATTTGATCGATCAAATATTTATATTAATCGATCAAAAATTTAATATTGATAGATCACAATTTGATCGATCAAAAATTTAATATGATAGATTTAAATTGTGGTCGATCAAATTAACCTACTACATAGTGATCTATCATATTTTTTAAACGATCAACCAAATTATTTCAGATCATAAATATTGAGGACATCTGATCAATCAAATATGTTTAATGATCGATCGTTGAGTTACAGATGTAGAAGTTGAAGGGGCAAGTGGGATTGCGATCGATCAAAAATAAATATGATAGATCAATCATTATATATTTACTTAAATGCCCTCAGAGAGGAATTAATTGAAGTGTTTTGTAAGGGGGCTTTGAAATAAATAAACATCGGATCATATTATTGCAGATTCGTAAAAAAACTATTCAAGTTGTAAATATTGTCATAATTCTGGTAAGCAATCCATTACAATTGTAATTATTCTTACAAATTTGATAAATAATCAACTGAAGTTATAAATATTCTCATAAAAGTGATAACTGATCCTTTGAAGTTGTATATCTTCTTGAATTAATTCTAAAATATTCATATATTAAACACACATATGTGTGTATTGATCGATCGATCATATTTAATGATCGATCATGAGCTATTAAATATCATAAAAAATATTATTAAATTAGTAAATACTTCTCCCCACTAGAAATTTTATCCACAAAACTGGTATATCTTTTTCGATTACTTGTAAATTATTTACAAATTAAATATAACTCTCGTAAAAAACATTCACAACTCTCGTAATTATTTCCTTTATTATAGTAACAAAACCTTTAATATAGTAATTATTTACACAAATGTGATAAACAATTCACTAAAATCGTAAATATTCTCTTAAATGTCATAAAAAATTTATTGAAGTTGTAAATAATCCCATAAATTTAATAAACATACCACTGAGGTTATTAATATTCTCATAAATTTGGTAAATATACCACTAAAATTGTAAATATTTTTATAAATTTGGTAAATATACCACTGAAGTTGTAAATATTCCCTTCATTATGATAACCAAATTATTAGTAATTATGATGTACTATTTGACATGTCATTTCAATGTATTATCTTGTTTACCAACCGATATCTAACATGCAACTCATTGAAGTTGTAAATAATCTCATAAATTTAGTAAACATATTACTGAGGTTGTAATTATTTCCACAAATTTAGTAAACACACCACTGAAGTTGTAAATATTCTCACAAATTTAGTAAATATACTACCAAAGTTGTAAATATTCACACAAATTTGATAAATGTACCACTGAAGTTATAAATATTCCCTTCATTATGATTACAAAATTATTAGTAATCATGATGTACTATCTGTTATTTCAATATCTTATCTTGTCAATCAACTTGCATCTAACAAATAACTTATTGAAATTGTAAATAATCCCATAAATTTAGTAAATATATGACTGATGTTGTAATTATTTTTACAAATTTAAAATTTTTGGTATGATACAAAAAATTTTCTTAATTGTACTGTAGTCTACTCCGAGAATGCATAATTATGGTAGTTATGCTCTGCATTGAAATTCTTGTATGACATCACATGCGATCTCAATTTATCATTATAGCCCTGAGCATCACATGCATAGATCGTAGAAATATAAGTTAATAATTAGTTTTATTTCTTTTTAGTTTTTATGTAATGTTTATTTCTCTCTCTTGTCTTTTTTTTTTTTTGGGCAGTTTTTAATGTTTTCACTTTTTCTTTATTTGATATGAGTAATTTTATTTGAACTTAAGAATTTGATTTAATTTATTAATATAACAATGAGTAATTTTAATATTTGATAAAATTCACAATCAACTTAAAGATTATAGTGAATTATGTCAATAAATTTGGTCACAATAACATTGCTTATTTGATATTAGGACTAACCAGTGTCTGAAGACATAATAAGTAAAAAGTACTTCATCCGTTCCTAAATATCTGTCGTTTAAGATTTTTGCACAGGGATTAAGCAAGCTATTAAATAGCTCTAATGTGAGAAAAAATAATTGCATAAGACTAAAATATATTTATTCACCACGTATTGAGAAGAAAAGAAATATGAAAGACACTTAACTTACACTTGATCTATTAAACACTTATTGGAAAACATAGATACGGGTAAATTTGGAAGAAAAAATATTAATTATACTTTAATTTCATTAAACGACAGATATTGTGAAACAAAAAAAAATTATATTAAACGACAGATATTTAGGAACGGAGGGAGTAATAAATTTAGGGAGGGGAGAGAATTTAATGTGAATAGTTTTAAAAATGATATTGATAACAGTTAAATAAGTCTATTTAAGACTGTCAAATAAACTTATTAAATATATCATGTTTTATATTATAGTAGATATAGATTATAAAAGTCCCGTTGTCCAAGTTTTTATTAGTAAACACATTGCTTCAATCTTAAATGCAAGCATTTTTTTTTGGTAACATAATAATTAAAAATACTCTTTCGAAATTGTTTTAAATTAATTACTTAAAAATATTAAAAAATTATATATTACTCCATCCGTTCCTAAATATCTGTCGTTTAAGGTTTTTGCACAAGGATTAAGGAAGTTATTAAATAGCTCTAATATGAGTAAAAAATAATTACACAAGACTAAAATATCATTATTCAATACGTATTGGAAAAAAAAGAAATATGAAAGACATTTAACCTCCACCTAATCTAATGTATTGAAAAGTTAAGGGTAAATTTGAAAAAAAAATTATTAATTATACTTTGATTTCACTAAACGACAGATATTATGAAACAAAAAAAATTATGTAAAATGACAAATATTTAGGAACGGATGGAATAATTAATAACAAACTATTTGAATCTACTTCTTGGTTTTACACTCATTTCCACTCTTTTTTTTTTTAATTTCAAAACTACTCTTACATTATAAAAAGGTGAATTACAATGTTAGCCACTAAACTATTCTATGTGTATCAATTAAGCCTTTAAACTATAATTTTTTTTCAATTCTTTAATTGATAATAATGATGAATTGCATTTATTTTGAGTTAATTATTGTTTATCCTATTGATTTTATGTTTTGATGGCATTTTTTTGTTTGGTTGATTTATGGGGGATAAAATAGAGGGAATGAATTGATTTTGGATGCTTGAATAATTGAAGATTGCACAAATCAATTCAATCAGACCCTTCGGTCTGCTTATGTCAAAGACTCATGAGTTACACCATATGTTATTAACAAAAAGAAGAGTATTTCGGACGAAACAAGAATCTCCATCCCAAATCTAGTGCCAAAATTCCTTCCCAAATCTGGCGCCAAAACGAGAGTTTTCATTACCTACGCAGTTGGTCTGCATCTGTGCTCGGTGAGATTCTTGTTTTGTCAAATATACATCTCATTTGTTGTCACATGAGTAACAGACGCGGTGTATCTCCTGAGTTTTTGATGGAAAATAGATAGAAGGATCAGATTGAATTGATTTGCATAGTTGGAGGGTTAAATTAAAAAAACTGTAATTTAA